TCCTCAACACCTTTTCCATATATTCTTTCAAATACAAGAGACAACTGTGTTTTTCCTTTCCTTTTTTTTTTGAACTTTATAAACAAATGCTCAACCAAAACAATCTGCAGATATCAAGTAGTCCATGAACTACTTAAATGATAATTTTAGTTTGAGAGCGAAACTGTCTCCTGTAAGGGGTGGATCAGGTCTCTTATAACATGTGATCAACAATGAGGCAATTTTGGCGTGAGATTATACATTGCAACAAGACTTGCTGGTGTGCTATAGTGGACTAGATCATTTTGTCCTTAGTTATTGTGTAGCTAATTCTGTTTTCCTAACATATAAAGTCAGATGTGATCAGCCACTGGATGAATTTCCTTGATAACCTTGTGATGTATTGGCATTATTATTTTTTCTACCATTGCACAACCCCTATCTAACATTGCTTCACCATTTGTCCAATTGTTAATTGATATCGAATAATAAGCTATAAAGCTTTGAAATGTATCCTTGATTTGACATTTTTAATTGAACTCGATAACATCTTCTTATGAGCTGAACCTTGGTTGCTAAAGTGTGTTCTAGGGTGCCTCTGGATGAATTGAAAGGTGATTGAATTTTTTTTTCCCATGTGTTGGTATGACTTTCATAACATTTTTGAAATTTTCACACAATTCAGCAAAGTTTTTTAGACTGCATGGTACATTCTTAATATTCAGCACCTAATTTACTAAAGAATGCAGAGTGAAAACTTGGGGAGTAGTTTATAGGTCGGGATTGGATTTCAAGAGTAATGTTGGTGATGCAGGAAAGCAAAGTTACAAAATGGAAAAAGTAAATAAACCCTGGAGATCCACTATTGATTCCTTGAATCCATAAGGAAGATAGGAGACCTGGAGAAACACTAGGTAGAACAATGCTTTGCAAAGTTTTCAATAATATGTTTTATTCATCAATGGCAATGCTCCCCAAATTAATGTCTGTGCACTTAAATAGGCACGAAACCTAGTAGAATTTAATACAAAATAGGTAACCAGGAATTTCCTAAACAACAATAAAACAAGGATAAATTATTAGATCTTCCTAGTGTATTGTTCCCTTAGATAATCCTCGTGTATTGCTCACTCGCATGAAAATAGGACTCAACGGATAAAAGTTACTTTAGGGATAACAAGCTAATCTTCCTCAAGAGCTCACATCGACATGAAGATTTGGTTCACTATGGTAACTATAATGGTTCCTACTTTTATGGAGCTGTCTAATGAATTTTCTTAAATAAAAATAACTAAAGAGAAATACTAGCCAACTAAACTCGATAACAGTTCTTTATCAGTTAAGCTTTTAGGAGATAAACAAATTAGCTAGGATGGAATTAGGAAAAAACAAAACAAACATTGCATCACACCAGGGCTCCTACTCTTGGGAACATCACACCTAAGGGAAGATGCATCACAGATGTAACCAAGTCTAGCCAAATTGTCATTTCACACCATTCTGAACATCTACCAGATGTCCGAAAGTTCAACTGACATCCAGTTCAAAAGCAGGTTGGACCAAAGCTTGGTTCCCCAACTGAATGTCATGATAGGCAGTGAAGAAAATTCTAGAATTAATGCAAATACAAGTAAGGGCATGCTAGAATCTCCCTCATTATTAAAAACTGGTTTCTTGCATTGCCAGAACCCCCAGTCGGCATTCTACATGAACCCTCACTTGGCATTTTGGCCCATATTTGTCTGGGTGAATGCTGACATCGTGTGTCCAGCATTTGAAATAAGCTGCATAGAGAACTCAATCATGGTGACTTAAAATCAGCATACTAAATTTTAAGGACTTCGCAGCACTCTTAGATTGAGTTTCTGTTTGTGTCTGTCGCACATGTATTTTGTTGGCAAGTGTCTGTGTTAAGACCAACAACTCAACTCAAAGTTTTAGTCTCAAGCAAGTAGATGCTGGTTTCCTTTCTCTTTTTGTGTCACTCTATTTTGTCACCCATGCCGGCTTTTTTCTTCCTTCTTTTCAATTCTTACTAGATAAAATGTAATTTCCATTTTCATCTCTTTCACACCAGTGCAACCATATTTCTATATCGTACATGGCTGAATTATCTGTGACAATCTTTCTGTATTTTGAAATTGAAACATTTCCACTGCCTGTGGCAGAATCAATTGCAGTTCACTTTTCTGTCCGATTCTGTACAACTATACCGTATTATGTTTCTCATGCCATTGTTACATGTGTAAGCTGTAATTAAATGATTGCAGGTGTGACATGGAGGACATTCTTCTGGAGATGGATCGGATTTTGCGACCAGAAGGTGCAGTTATATTCCGTGATGAAGTTGATGTTCTTGTTAAGGTGAGGAAGATGGTAGGAGGAATGAAATGGGATACTAAAATGGTGGACCATGAAGATGGTCCCCTAGTTCCTGAGAAGATATTGGTTGCTGTCAAGCAGTATTGGGTTGGAAACTCAACGTCCGCTCAGTGAATGATGAATGGCAATTGGTGAAACCTTCTCTCGTCTTTAGCTGGCAATGCTTCGATGTACAAGACATGACATGTATGGATATGTTTAAGCATGGGTTTTTGATTCCTTGGCGAGTGCTGCGGAGCATAGGGAGGGGGGTTCTACACGATTTAACCGTATAATGTTTTACTAGCTATTAATAGCCCATGCTGTATTCTAGTGGTAATTTATAGATGCCTACGAACCTGTAAGGTTTTTGACATCAATATTTTTGTTCCCTTTTCAGTCTGGTATTACGGCCAAATGGTTATGAACACTGGCTCTCCCGAATTCCTAATTATGACTGCAGAAATTCTAATATCTTATCAGCAGCCGATCCCGTTTAGAACATGTTAAGTTACCCAGTTTGAAATTCAACTGACATAACTTTCATAGATTTGGGATTAATCGATGTTTATGATGCGGGAGCTTTTTAGTAAAATAAATAATTTTCAATTCATTTTATTGTTTCATTGTGTTATGATGTTTTTTAAGTTTTTTTTTCTTCTTCTATTTGAAGATAATAATCTTTTTTTCTATTCATTATTATTAGGATTTTTCAATATTTTTCTTTTCTATTAAGGTTGTAGTAGTATTTTTTCTCCCTAGCAAGTGGAGGTTTTGATGAATAAAAATTGAATATTTTATATGTCTTTTGACTTCTAATATACCTGTGTTCTTTGCTTTTATCAGTGTCATTTGGTTGCGAAGTTTTCTTAATGTGTTTCTTCTACATTTGTATTATATAGTTGGTCGACTCTAAAGAAAACTACTGTTTTTTAATAATTATTTTTTAAATATTTTTTGTTTGGAAATAACAATATTTTTATTTTTAAAATTTAATTTTCAACACCTGTATATAAAATAATTTCAAAAAATTAATTTGAAATAAAAAATAAAATAAAAAATATTTTTTTAAAAAAAAAAACAGAATATTATCCTTAAATAAAAATCACGGACGAAGACCACCTTGATAAAAAACAGGGATGAGCTACATTGAGAAGACACTTAAAGAGAGTACAGCGAGCAACCGAGTTTCTTTTGGAGGTGAAAAAAATTTTAAAAATTAATTTTTTTTGTTTTATTTTTTTATATTTTAAATTTTTTTATTCATTAATATTAAAAATAAATTTTAAAAATAAAAAAAATATTATTTTAAAATATTACTATTAAAAAAAACATAAGCTATCGTAATTACAATCGAACTCTTACTTTGAAGAGTGGCAAATTGGTCTCTTGATGATGTCAGCGTCTTATGAAAGGGTTGCAAAACACAAACACGCCGACAAGATAGAACGGAAGCAATCTCGCCTTGCCTTGCATGAAATTGGTCAATAGATGAATTTCGGCTAGCATGACAACGTTGACGTCCAATTTTTTTTTAAAGCTCATGTAGGGGTTAACTTAGCCAAATATCATTGTTTTTTAGCTCTTTTCTCCCAGAAAAACTAAAGACAGATATTTACTTAAAGAAAAGATATATCGTTTTCCAATGATTTTTGTAGACAATAAAAGGTTATAATTTATTTAGTAAAGAAAAACCTATAATTTATAGTTTTAAGAAAATACAATAAACCAACCATGCATGAATGGATTTCAAGTGGTATAAAAAGATTAATATCTTATGTTCATTTTGCAATAAAAATGGCAAAATCATAAATTTAATAAATTAGGGATATGCGGGAAACAGGTGAATGGATAGGAGGTTGTCATACCCGCCTCTTGCCTGCCTCCGTGCTGGTATTCTGCACCTGTACCGCGTCCATTTCAGCGTGTAGAGATTGTTTTTCTATTTGGAACGCGGTTTGAAACTGTATTATGTTAAATTTATTTTTTTTATTTTTTAAAATTATTTTAATGTGTTGATTTTAAAAATAATCTTTTATAAATAAAAAAAATATTATTTTAATATATTTTAAAATAAAAAATATTTTAAACTATAGTCAACAACACAATTCTAAACGTGTAAATGCAACCTCTAGCTGGCGTGTCTTCATTGTCAATCCTGGCCGATATGGATGAACGTCTGAAAAGTAGGCGACGGTTGACTTGTTGAACACCTTCTAAATCGGGTATTGAGTTGTAGTTATCTAAATATTTTTTCTTCCTTTCGTGTGGAGTGTATAACATAAAATCATTTCTGTGGATGCAAATTTAATCCTTCATGAATATTCATCCGACTTGAATGAGTAATTTTTGAATTTGATAAATAATTTAAATTGTTAGATAAAATTTTAATATATAATTTATATTATTTTTTAATATATCTTGTTAATTAAAATATTTTTAAATTTAAAATTTATATAGGCTGTGTAATGTTTAATTTTTATTAAATAAATAAAAATAATAAGATTTAAACTTATAATTATTTAGTTATTAAAATTTTAGTATCATATTAAAAAAATCATTTCAATCTAATTGGTAAAATCTTATTATATTATTGTTCGAATTTATACATATACTTGATCCTACGCGTGAATACATATTCTCATCCGTAATAACTCTACGTTCAAGGCCCCATCATTATCTTTCCCACCAGCTTGAGAGGTTTTTTCAAAACTAGCACATGGAAGGAAAATTATATCCAAATAATCACGGCTAATGCACAGTTTGGTCGGATATGCAGGTTTAACTTGCGAAGTCCACTTTAGACATGCAGGTCCGATTTGTGCTTCTAGGATTTTATGTTTTTTTTGTCTATCACGTGTGATACAAGCGCAAGACATGACCGATCTATATCACACGCACAAATCATGATTTTTTTCTTGAGCTGCATGTGCCAACAAGGTTAGTATATTATCATTTTAGATGACGTGTGTGATTTAGATGCTGTTTGTAACTGTATTTTTAAGTAGTGTTTTTTCAAAAATTATCATGATTATATTTTTTTCCCACACCATGCTATTTTTTAGGGAAAAAACTCGCAATGGATGCACAAAGAATGGAGAGTGGAGAAGAAACGACATAGCATAGATACGAGGGAGGGAGGGGGAGGGAGAGGGATGCTTGCTTGTTCACTGGCTTGGTGAGTGGTGAGAGATCTTGGAAGAGGTAATAAATAATCCCCCTCCATTATTCTGTACATTTGCTTGCATGTTGCCATTTGATCTTTATATTCCTATGGACTTCCCATCGCATCTATCATAGCATTATTATCATGATCTACTCCATTCATCCATCGTTCCAGAAACCAAACCAAACCAAATTGGTGTTCATAGAATGTTACCTGTGGTGGCTCCTCGTCGAGGAAGGAGGTTGGGTCGGATTTGCAGACCAGCACTCAGTTTCAGGTTGTGGCTCTTGCTGCTTGCTCTGCTCCGCTTATTCTCTTTTGCACCGTTTGGCCTCAAATTCGTTATACTTGTTGGTCATGATAAGCCCCTTTCTCTCCCCTTCCCTTGGTGATAATACTACCGTGACTGCATATTTTTTCCATTTAAACCTTCCTTCCTTCCTGGGCTGGCTGGGTTTGTAGGTGGTAGCATGGAAAGCGGCATCTCATCTTCACACCAACTTCATTTCACGGGTAATATCGAAAGATTTAACAAGGAAGTAGAGCAACAACAACTGCAACACTCTGGATATGGTGGCGATGCAATTAAAGCACCAGGAAGAAAGCACCGTTGGCAGCGTAAGATAAATGCTCTTTTTATTCACTTATGAAGCTGTTTCCCTTTCATTTTTCATGATGAACACCCAACTTTATAAGCATGCTCTTAGATTTAGGATGAGCAAACACTGTCCAAATTGGCTTCAGACGGACATGTTCTAGATAATAGTGGATTAGTTGGTCTATGGAAAATAGTCATTGCCAGGAACTTACCCTACAAGGACATGCGGAGAACTGGCAAGGTGCCGAATTTTTTATCACACCGCATCTTTCCTTCTTCTAGGTAATTACCAATCCATGATTTAATTGTCTGGTTTGCACGAGTAGGCTTTACCTTTGTTGTTGCGATCTAAAGATCCAAAATGTGCTTATTTTTTTATTTATTCACACACTCCTTTTCCAGCTACTCGATTTGGCTTGACAGGAAGATGCGACTTAATGCTGATCCCATGCTGATAATTGATTACTTTTTGTGGCGAACAAGATCAGAATATGCCATTTCAAACCATTATGATTGTCACTGTGTTTGGGAGGAGCTACTCCAAAATAAGCACCTAAATAAGTACAGTCAAACGGCCATTGATAAACAGTTTAATTTTCACCAGCCTGATGGCCTCAGCAAGTTTGATCCTTCAGATCTTAATACTCCTCTACCAAGTTGTATGTGTCTTGGTTTCTATTCTGGTTTTCAAGATTGAGTTTCCCTTTATTATACAGCCTCTTCAATCCACTTTTGTTTTTTTTTTTTTCCTGAAATTCAACCCAGCTGTTGGTTCTTATACTTTGCGGATGTGCTTGAAGGTTCGTTTATTGTCCGGGCCCATACACCAATGTCAAATTTATTTTCATGAATCTGGTTTAATGAAATTAATCGATTTACTTCACGTGATCAACTGAGCTTTGCATATACTTACTTGAAACTCAGGAGAACGAATCCCAATCAACCATTCTACCTAAATATGTTCAAGGTGATAAAACATTGCCCAACAAATCTACGAGTATGCATGTGTAACTGATTGCATTACAAGTTAGAGCATTCAGCATGCAAGTGGTAACTGTGCATCAATTGCAACTCTGACTGGCTAGTCCGTTATCTTACCATGTCATTTTATCCGGGCACGATGTCTCGGCAGGGTCCCTCATCTTACTGTGTTAATTTATCAGGGTATGACATCTCTCAGCGAAGTTGTTACCTGTTATTTGCTGAGGATGTGTCTAGAAGCAAGTTTAATGAGAATGCATGCCATCCTCTTTTTTATTGCGTTCTGAGAAGTCTACTAGTGAAATCATTGTATTTTGACAAGAATGGCCTTTCTAAATTATTGTCATTGTAAAATTTCTTATCTCTTGTTAGCTGTCTTAATTGCTCGTTCCTATTGTTTTGAGGTTATCTGTGGAAAAGAATCATAAACAATTAGCATAAGCTAATCATCTTTTGCTGATTTGGTGCAGGATTGTGAATGCCGAGCACTAGCAAAGCTGTTCTGGCATCGGGTATTCCCATCACCCCCACCTGTTCCTTGATAAATTGAGATTTTTTTTTTTCAAGTTATGGCTTGCCTGGTAAGATAAAAGATAACCTATCCAGCTCCCTCACCTCTTCTTTTCTTTCTCAGTGTTTCCAGTTGATTGCTTTACTTGGATTTCCTTAAATGCCAAAAAAGGCATAGAAGTTATTTTCTAGTTTCCTTACTTGCAATCAAGACACCCTTGTAAAGGAGCATCTGATACAGATTTGGCTTGAGGACTAACTGCACACTGCTTTCACTTGCAGAAACCTTAGTACCATCTTCAGAACTTGATTATCAAATCAGTGGATGGTTATGCTCAATTGTTGATACAACTTTGAACTGATATTTTATAATAGGACTTTAAACGATTAAGAAATCCATTCAATAGTAGCAAAGAGAGATTCCAGGGATTTTTTATATTAATTTTGAACCTGTTGTATTGGTCTAGTGGTGGATCCTGATATTTGAATTGCATGTATAGTGACAGAACCTGTGCCACTTGCTGTAATGTGATTAATTGAGTCCAGTTCATAGTGTAAATTAATAGATCAGACAACTGTAAACTTCTCACTTGAGTGTCATTAGATTTGATGACATAGTTGTTAGATACAATCACCTGATTTTCCAATCAAACTTATCTAGTGGGTCTGGTTGTTGTCTTAGCAGTGCTTTTCTTCTTCCTTTTCTTGTTGGCTTGGGGAAAGAGAGGCTGCGTCTAACACCCTAACTCTCATTCCTAAGAATTTATGTGCAATTACTGTTCAGGCATAAATTTAATTTTTGATCAGGTGCATCGGTCTTATAAGCTTCTTTGAAAATCCAATCTTGTGAATCTCCAGCTGAGATAACTGAAAAAATATGGATTACAGTTGTTAAAAACATGGATAGGTTTTTGGTCATGCAATCTTTTGATTTAATTGGTTATTCATTTGGTTTCTTAAGCACAAGAAAAAATCGATGCCATCGTCAAGCTATAGCTGGAATTGTCTGACTGTAACAGGATGAAATCACAGGTCTGGGACTCTCCTAATTGAAGTATCAACGTTTTTAAAGTTGAATTGGAATTGAGTTTGCACTCATCAGTAATGGTGATATTTGAAATCTCTTGTGACAAAACTATTACATACTATTTTACATGGATTTTTTTGGCTGTTGTTTAAATAATGTGAACTTAAGATGTCTGCTTTGTTGCTGCAAAAAAAGTCTTTTGTACATATCAACTTCTGATTACTTGATTATTTGTTACAACTTATCAAGGTGGATGGTAGTGTATGCATTCCATGTTTGCTTACAATGTATCAAGGTGGATGACCAAGTGTATGCTCCTCTGGGAATGAAGCTTTGACATAAAACTACTTGATAGGTCCATGATAGTTGTTTACAGAATCTGAATAAGTTTTTGATGGATCTTTATGGTTTGTGCAGGGACATTCACTGATGGGAAAAAAGATAAAAAAAACAAAAAGGTTTCTGTGTGATCGTCTCCAGCTGTTTCAAGAATCTAATAGATGATCAGCTGCCTTGTGAATTATGGCAGATTTGTTATGTTTTGCACAGTAGCTGATGGCGACGACTTTGGATGTCTGATGTATTTGGCTTGGTAATCTTTGACAAAGAGGTGATACTAATCTCTCCTTACTAAATGGTCTAAGGGGCTTTGCCAGTCAGTTCAGCTAAAGAATTTGGTAATTGGATGATGGTTAGTGAAATTGGCATGTGACATTGCATTGCATTGCTGAAATAATTGTGGGTTTTGAGTTTCAACCACTACCAACTGAAGGGGGAAAGAGGGAGAGGGGCTGCTACAGTGGCATCAGCCAATGCTCTAGCGGTTTAACCAAAATTGCATTTATTGATGTCGGTATTCTAAACTTACCCAGAGGGAAATAGCATTGCTTTTCCAAGAGTATTTGTTAGGTTTTCCCCTTTGAATAATGGTGGCGAGGAAGCTGCTTAGTGCTAAACACGTCTTTTTTCTCTCTCGATTTTTACCTTCGATCTTTTCCTGTAGCGTAGTGGTTCTTCAACTGTTCAAGAGGGTGCTGATCGAGATTTTGTTTTGACATTTTTCTTTAAAGTATCACCAAGCTGTTCTCAGAACTGTGATCATCGTGCAGGCTCGTCTTGGAAGATTGTTATCTCTACTACTCACGGTCTGATTTTTGCTCTCTTTTTTACAAATAAGCAACACTTTCCTACTAGGTAACTTTTATTTGAAATTATAATTTCAATTGCAACTGTAAAGCAAACTCGTAAGAAGTTCACTTGGGTCTGGTTGTTCTATCATCCCTCGTGTTTTTATTTTTTGGTCAGACAATGTGGAAAGCACCATATCAAACTTTTGTGCTCTGATGCTTCTCATGAATTGCGCGAGTCCCTTGGTTATTTTTATTTGTTTTGTTGTGCGTGATGAGGGCCGAAGACCCGTGCCGAGGAGGACATCGAAAACGAGCCTGTTGCGTCTCCCTTGGTTTATGGCGTTGATTGCTGTCAGGTTCCCTGCTTCGAGGGGCGGCTTATGAATCTGACCCCTAATTGGCTATCCGCCATCCTTTCCTCTTTTCTTGCACACATTTTCCCCCGTAGAGTTGAAAAGTATATCAGGAGGCTATATGTTATATCCGTCTTTCTATTTGACTCATTTAAGTCATTTAAGCCCCCTTTATATTCGTTTGAGAGTGATTATAGTTACTTTTTATTTATAAATATATTAAAATATTTTTTATTTTAAAAATATTTTTGATATTAGTGTATGAAAATGATATGAAAATATTAAAACATATTAATTTAAAATAAAAATTTAAATTTTTTTAAAAATACTTATGAAACATAAAAATAAAAGGTACAAGCCAATCTTTGTATTCACATAAAAACTTTAAAAGGGTATTCAGGAATATGGTAATGATTACTTTTCAAAGCAATTTTTATTTGAAAATATATTAAAATAATTTTTTTATTTTTTAAAAAATATTTTTGATATCAGCATATTAAAATGATTTGAAAACACTTAAAAAATTATTAATTTAAAGTAAAAAAATAAAAAAATATATTTTTAAAAATATTTTTAAAACATAAAATCAAATAAAAAAATTAACCCAATTTAGCAACTGATGTTGAGTTCTGAAAACAAAGTCGCATGAGTGAGTCTTGGATGGATCTCCAATTACTTAAATTCATAAATTACATGTCTAATTCTGAAGAGCTTTCCAAGTTTTTTTGTGTCCTTTTGTCTTTTTACATGTGCAAGTAATGACTGTTTTGGTACTTGATTAAAAAAAATTAAATTTTTAAATGTTTTAAATTATTTTGACGTGTTGATCTAAAAAATAAATATTTAAAAATAAAAAATATATCATTTTAATATATTTCTAAATCAAAAATATTTTAAATCATAACCATAACTACAATTCCAAATCAGAAGTTAAATGAGTTGTGATACATGCAGAGAAATGTATGGGATAGCTACGGGAGTTATTACAATGTTTGAATATTTTAATATTATAGTGTTTTTAATGTTGATTTGTATCTTGGACCTACTATACTTCACTTGTATTTAATGTTGTGGTGTATTTTTAAAATATTAAAAAATATTTTTATTTTTGAAATAAATATTAAAACCATTAAAAATCATTATAAAAATTATTAATTTGATTTTTTTAAAGTAAAATAATTTTTAAACTATATTCAGTTTTAAACACAAAAATACTGCTCTTTGGGTGCTCCTAAGGATAATTCTCACACTTCACCTCTTTTGATTTAAAACTACTTTGGGGGTTGTGGAGTGCATTGGTGAAGAAAGTTTTGAAACTATTAGATTTTTTATAAGATCGGTCTAAATTAATTAAGTTTGTTTGTGTTGCTAATAAGTTGCTACTATGTAGAAAGACTTTTTCTATGTTAGACTAATTTCTTATGCACATTACCACTTTTTGTTAGTGTGGATCATAGGTTACTTTTTAGCTTTTTGTTACTTTTATAAGGCTATATAATAATCAAAGTTTCTATTCAATAATATCGTTGTTTTTTTAGTTTGCTTGAGTACATAGTAGTACTGCTTTTGATACATTTGTTATTGTTCTCTTCAAACTAGTATCAGAGTCTTTATTGGGGTTGAGAAAATAAAAGGCAGCAGTTTTTAAGTGACTTTCAAACACAGAGAGATAGAGAGAGAAAAATGACTTATGAAGGACACTTTATGCCACCATTCATTCCATGTTTTGATGGTCATTATGACCATTGGACCATGTTTATGGAAAATCTCCTTTGAAGTAACGAGTATTGGGGTTTAATTGAATCTGATTATGAAGAACCAGTATACAGGGAACAATCCTTATCAGAAGGACGATAGAGAGAGCCAGATGCAGTAAAACTCAAGGATCTCAAAGCCAAAAACTATCTTTTCCAAGCAATTGATAGAAGTATCCTAGAGATAATTTTAAAAAAGGATACCTCTAATAAAATCGAGGATTCTATGAAGATAAAATATAAAGGGAATGTTCGGGTAAAACACTTAACTCTTTAAGCCCTATGAAGATACTTTGGTATTGTTTAGATGAAAATTGATGAAACAATCACTAACTATTTTGTTGGAGTGATGACAGTAGCAAATAAGATGAGTGTATATGGGGAGATTATGACCGATGTCACGATCTGTGAAAAAATCCTATGATCTCTCACGGACAAATTTAATTATATAGTTTGTTTGATTAAGGAATCTAGGAACTTGGATGCAATTACCATTGATGAACTTTAGAGCTAAGTCACTGTACACAAAAAAAAATTCATAGAAACAGCGGTGTGGAGCAAGCTTTAAAGGTGACAACTAATGACAAAACTTGGGGTAGAGGGCGTGGAAGAAGTTATTACAAAGGATGAGAACATGGAAGAGGAGGTCAAACATTCAACAAGAATGCGGTAAAATGCCACAAGTGTCATAATCTTGGACATTTCCAATATAAATATCCAAAATGGGATAAATAGGTTAATTGCGCAGAAGTAAATGAAGAATATGATATGTTGTTGATGTCATATGTTGAGTCACATAAAACAAAATAGATTGATGCTTGGTTTCTTGACTTAGGATGTTCCAACCATATGCGTGGCAATAGAGGTTTGTTTACCAACTTGGATGAGATCTTTGTTGATTTAGTTAAATTGGAAAACAATAGTAGGATGAATGTGACTGGAAAAGGAAGTATCAAACTGTTTTTAGATGGAATCAACCATGTTGTCCATGAGGTGTATTATGTTTTAAAGCTAAAAAACAATCTCTTAAACATAAGACAACTTAAAGAAAAAGATTATGTTCTATAGCCAAAAAATAATCTCTTGAGCATAGGACAACTTAAAGAAAAAGGCTTGGCTATATTAATTTAAGGAGGAGTTTGCGAAATCTATCCAATTAAGGGTTTGATTATTTAAACTGGGATGAGTATAAACAAAATGTTTATACTGCTATCTCATACCCCAGTTTCTCCAAATGCTCCATCAGAAAGGTGTTTTTATACAAGCTTACATGATCTCTTTTATCTTTGACATCAAAGATATGGTCACCTGAGCTACAAGGGATTGAGAACTTTGTAACACAAAGGGATGGTTTATGGACTTTCTTAGCTTCAAATCTCAAATACTACATGCACAGATTGCATTCATAGTAAACAACATTGTGGTGACATGCTAATAAAGAGTACGCGAAAAGCAAGTCAGTTTTTGGAACTTATTCATGCAGATATTTGTGGGCCAATTTCTCCTATTTTCAATAGGAAAAAGAGGTATACTTTATGCTTTATTGATGATTTTAATCATAAATCATGGGTATACTTATTGACAGTAAAGAGTGAGGCATTAATTTGCTTCTAGTTTTTAAAAAAAATTAGTGGAAAAAAAGAAAGGGTTAAATATCAAATGTTTATAAACAGATAGAGGGGGTGAATTCAGTTCAATTGAATTCATTGATTTTTATAAAGAAAATGGAATCACGAGGTAGTTAGCCACTACATATACACCACAACAAAATAGAGTGACTAAAAGAAAAAAAATAAAATTGTAATGAATATAGTCATTCTATACTACCTGATAAGAAGCTCCCAAGAACATTTTCGCTAGAGGCAGTGAACCGGACCTTCTATGTTTTGAATAGATGTCTTATATTGACAATGAAAAATATCACACCACAAGAGGCGTGGAGTGGAGTAAAACCCTCAGTTGAACATTTCTATTTATTTAGATGCTTAGCTCATGTTCATGTTCCAAGTGTTAAGAGAGGTAAATTAGATGATAAAAGTCTTCCTCGTGTTTTATTGGGAGTTAGTGAGGAGTTTAAGGGATACAAATTGCTTGATCCTATAGCTAAGAAAATTATTGTGAGCAGGGATGCTATTTTTGAGAAAGATAAGCAGTGGGATTGTGATGTGTGTTATGAGGGATAAATCTTGCTAGATTTGAAGTGGGGAGAAAATGATGAAAACAACAATGAGGGAGAAGAAAGGGTGAGTGAAAATGTAGATGAAAATGACATTGGGGCTAATGAAGAAAAAAAATACGGGTAAGAGCAGTGAAACATGAGGCTGCGAAGATGCGAGCGAGAGTAGTGAAACACGAGGTCGTGAAAAGAGAATTTATAATGACCTTAGTGATGATGAATGAAAGGTTTATGAAATAAGAGAAAGATGCCCTCCTTTTTACTTGAGTGACAATGTCACTAGAGACAAGCTAACAGAGACGAGGCACACATGGTTCAAAATGTTCCAACAGGAGATCCTCTCTATTTTGAAGATGCAGTGAAAGATGAGAAGTGGATATAAGCTATGGATAGTGAGATCAGTTCCATTGAGAAGAATAAAACACGGTCTTTAAGTGAGTTACCTACTGGATAAAAAAATTAGCTTCAAATGGGCATACAAGACCAAATACAATGAACATGGAGAGAATAACAAGCACAAAGCACGTCTAGTAGCCAAATGCTACGCATAGAAGCACGATATAAACTACATAAAGGTTTTTACACCAGTGGCAAGGATGGACACCGTGAGGATGATCATTGCCTTGGCAGTACAAAAGGATTAGACAATTTTTCCAGTTAAATGTCAAGTTAGCATTTCTTTATAAAGAGTTTAGTAAAGAGGTTTACATTGAGCAACCAAGAGGTTATGAGATGAAAGGTAGGGAGCACTTGGTCTACAAGCTACATAAAGCATTGTATGGATTAAAATAAGCTCCACGAGCCTAGTTTAGTCAAATTGAGGCACATTTTATCAATAAGGGTTTTCAGAAGTGCGACAGTAAGCCAACCTTTTTTCACAAAGAAGAATGGAAAGAAAACTCATCATTGGAAGTATTTACGTTAATGATCTAATTTTTACTGGTGATGATAAAGATATGATGTGTGATTTCAAATCCATGTTGAGAGAATTTGATATGACTGATTTGGAAAGCATGAGGTTTTTTCTTGGCATCAAAGTACTTCAAAAAATAGATGGTATTTTTATATACAAAAAAAAGTATGCTTTAGAGATTCTAAAGAAATTTAGGATGCTAGAAATTAATGAGGTAAGTAGTCCGATTGTCCCTAAGTTTTAAGATCAATAAAGATAAGGATAGCATTACTGTAGATGA